GTACTCCCCGGTGCCCCCCCGCTACCCCCTGGTAACCCGGCACACCGATGCCCCCGATACCGCTGCCACGACAACCTGGCAGCCCCCAGTACCCCGGCACGAGCAGCACAGAACCCCCGGTGACACCCGGTACCTTCAGACAAGCATCCCGGTACGTCGGTACCTCTCTGTGCTCTAAGGCACCCACCCGAGGATGCTCCAGCTCCTGCCAGTAACCCGCTGCTCCCCCGGTTTAGGCACCCCGATGTCCCCGATGACCCTGACATCCCCACCCCCGGGAGCGCCCACACCCCTCGCGGTTCGCCGGGAGCCTGTGCACGGCTCTGACCGGCCGGAACACCGAGTATCAACCCGGAATGCTGTGCTTGAGCCCTGCCCTGCCGGCCCACCGGGCTCCCAGGACACCCACTGCTCCCGGTCATGCGGGCAGAGCCCCGGCCCGGATCAGTCCCCGGGCCGCTCACTAGGGCGCCCCGCGTTGTGGGAACACCGACGCCTTCGTGGACATATCCCTGCCACCCATTCCAGCGGCGTCTCCCCGTGCATCGGCCCCCGGCGGGGACGGGAGAGCCGGGAGGGGAACGCGCAGCCCACGAGGCGGACACGCGGCTCCCCGGTGCCGCGGGTGGGGCCACGCCCCTCCCGGCCAGGCCCCGCCCCCTCCGCTGGGCGGCACCAATGGGGCAGCGGCGGCGGCGCTGTTGTCCCGGAGACCGCGGGCTGCCCGCCGGGGGCCGCGCCCATTGGCTGCCGCTGCCGCGCGCGGGCCCGCCGGGGGCCGCGCCCATTGGCTGCGCCGCCGCCGCCAGTTGCTGTGGTGACAGGGGAGCGCGCGGGGCCGCGCCCGACCCGACCGGGCACAGCCGCTGTCCGGGCACCGCCGCCGTCCGGGCACCGCGGGCTGTCGCCGTCCTGCGGCCTGAGCAGGAACTGTGACCTGTCCCGACCCTGCCGGCTGCCCCGACATTGCGGCCAGCCGAGACACCGGGGCCTGCCCTCCCGCCGGCCCGGGCCGCAGCCCCGAGCGCTGCCCTCGCCGTCCCGGAGCCGCGCTGCGCGGGGAGCACCACACGGTTCTCCACCGCGGCTTTGCGCCTTGCCTGCGGGTGGCACCTCCCCGAGCTGTTCCCGCTCGGTACGGCCGGAGGGCACGCCCGGCACGGGTCACCCGCGTGGCCCTGGCCCGGAGCACCTGCTCGGCCGCTCCCACACACCTCCGGTCTTCGCTGCCGCCACGCCGGCAGGACCGGCTGCGTGCGCATTAACACGGAACGCCCGTGCCGTCGAGCAGCTCTGCTGGGCCGGAGGCGGCTCCCCATGCCCGTCGGTTTCGTGTATGGGGCCCGCCTCTAGCCAGGTTCCCTGCGACAGCCGTTCCTCTGCTCCCTCCCGGCCCCGGCCGCCCCTCAAGCAGCTCGGGGCCGGTCCCGCCGGGCAGCTCGGGCTGCCACAGCTGCTTCCAATCCCGCAGACCGCGCCCGGTGCATCCCGTGCCGGTGATCCCGTCCCGCTGCGGTGCCGGGGCGGGGCCGGCAGGGGGCGTCCCTTCCGCCCGTTCCCGTGAGCTCGGGCCCCGCCCGGCCCCGGGCCCTGCCGCTGTCGCCGCGGGGACCGGCTCGGGTTACGGGGGACACGGGCATCCCCAGAGGCCTTAGCGAAGAGGGGTTCCCGGAGGGCGATAGGGCCCGGGCGTCCCCGGACAGCAGGGGATGGTGAGGATCAATGGGATGTGGGGGTGTCCCAGGAGGCACGGAAGCTGCCAAATGGACAAAAGAGCGAGCCGGGAGGGGTTCCCCGTAGACCAGCAGCGGTATCACCCTGCAACAGCCTACTAAATCCATTCCTCCGTACTGTCTCCGGCTCCAGCTGGCTGCTGGAACACCACTCTGCTTCGCAGAGCCATTCCTGTGTGGAGCGGCACCAGGCACGGTGACAGATTCCTCTGTGCTGCCAGTGCAAGCAGCAGTGCCTGAGGGTAAGGTCAGAGTTGGTGCAAGGGGACATTTCCCAGCTCTGAGGAATCAGCAGTAATTGTATTTCTCCCTCTGCAGAGGATGAAGGCAGTGGTACAGACCTGCTGTCAGAACCGGCTGGATACAGTGAGGGCAGAACTCCAGGAAATAGAAAAAACAATGGAAAATAATCTGGGAAGCTAGTTGCTCACATCACTCTGAAATGAGTCTATACAGTCATGTTACCTTTACTTTCCATCCTCGGCTAAAGACATTGTGTTGATCTTATAAATGTCAAACAATTCCCTTTCTGAGAATGAATCCCATTTGCTCTGTGGGGATGATCTTCCCATCAGCCTGCCAGGAGGGAGAGAGCCCTGTGACACACAGCAACCTGTGCTTGGGGAGGGTCTGTTCATGCGATCATTCCTTCCTGGTGTATCCCAGCTCCTGCCACCCGGGTGCACACAGGGCTTATTTTCCATGGAAATACCACCCTGTTGGGCAGACACTCACCCCACAGAGCAGCAGTGGTGTGGGTGTCAAGGGGGCATCTCCTGCACCAGGGTCTGGGTTTTAGCTGGAAGACAGGTATGGCTGTAGCTATGGAGGCACAAGCTGAAGGAGGAGAAAAGCCTGGAACATGTCAGGAGGCAGGAGGCGAGTGGCTGTGTGATAGATTAGTGGAATTTAATTTTTTTCTGTTTAAAAAAAATGATAAGAGGAATTAATTCGCTTCAGCAGCTGGTGGGGCTGGGGTTACTGAGGGTGGATGGGAGAAGAGTTAAAAATAGCAGGAAGGCCCAAATGGAAAGTTTCTGTAACATCACAAGTCAGGCATTTGGTGCTTACCCGCCCTGACAGGCGGGAGCCTGTGCCAGAGCCCTCTCCACCATCCTCAGCCCTTTCCCACTGACCTCCCTGCAACTTTTCACACGACATCACCAGCCCTTCGTTTTGCTAATTAACCCTTTGCTTCCAGACACTGGGCTTGCATCTTGAAAGAGCAAAATCAGCCACAAGTTGCTCATCCTGGGAACGTGAGGGTGCAGAGGAGCACAGTGCTCATGCTGGCCCTCCCTGGGTCCCTGCATGTCGCTGGCAGCGTGTGGAGCCCAGAAGAGCTGTAACCCCCCTGTATTCATTCCCATCTGCATTTCAGCTTCCCCTCCTTAAAAATCTTCCAGTTTCCAGAGGACCTGGGTGGATTTCACTGGTGGGTCTGAGCCCTATGCTGGGACACTCTGGATGCACAGTTTGTCCTCAGCTGAGACGGAGATGGATGAGGCAGCTCTGAGGAAGCCCAGCTTGCTGCACTTGTCCCCACTGCAAGAAAGCAGATGTACCTGGCTGCTCCAGAGGGCTTTCTCTGCTTCTGTTTGTCTTTCAGGACTGACAATAAGAGCAGCTGAATTCATTCCTTCTCCCTCTCAGAGGCCCAGGAGTTGTGTCTGGCTCTTCTGCTCTGGGAAGGCTGGCAAGAGCTGAGCCTGCCATACAAAGGGTGGTCTGAGGGTGGTGGAGCAGGGCTTGGGCTGGAACAGATTTTGGTGGTTGACAGAGTGGTCAGTGACTGTGGCAGACCATGAGGCATGAGAAAATACTGATGGATTGACTGGAGGTCAGGTTTGGCGCTGGTTTACACTAAACAGGAGCTGGACAGTACCCTCACCTGGTTTAAAAGGGTTTCCCTCTTTCCCTAGCTGCTTGCATGGTCCTGCATCCCAGAACAAGCATTTGGGCTGACCCCGCTGAAAGCCAGTGCAGGACCCTGGGGACATAGAGAGGGTGGCACAGCTGACACAAGGCAGGCTTCCCTTTGGCCACATTGTGCCCCCTGATAACAGGACTGCCATGCAGGGAACAGGACACCTCTGAGCACAGTCCATCTGAGCAGTCACCCTGCTCCTGCTTCTGCTTCTCCTCATACCCAAACAGCCAAAGCACAGTGCCTTATTCCCTCTGTGCTTTGCCTCTCCTAACTCTCCTCTCTCTCAGACCCGTGCTGGGTATCAAGGTGGTTCTCAGCATTCCCACCAAGGAGGGACACTTGTCTGATGCCAGCCCCTTGCCCAGTGCCTGGAGTAGCCAGGCTTGGATGAGGTGCCAAGATGACTCCATTGCCTTCAGCCCTTCTTCCCACCAGTCCTACTCAGCACCTTGGGCATTTGCAGATGTGGTTTTATGGCACAATAAAGTTGTTACTGTGGTTCCTGCCCTCCCCATCATTGTTCTCTGATCATGAGGGATGTCCTGGGACCAGCCCTAGTGCCATGAGGCTCTGCCAATATATCCCAGTGTGGTTGCACTGGTGACCCAGTGTAGGGTCAGAACACTGCCCGCACTGGGATATTTTGGAACAATGCTACCGATGTCCCAGATCCACAGACAGGATCAAATAAAAACAGCTCCTGCTATTGCCCGTGCCAGGAGACCCTCAGCCTTGTATTCAACCACTGCATCTTGGAGATAGAGCTGCACAGACGGGCTCTGGGCTTCTAAATCCTGAAAAAGCACATCTTCCCCTGGGCAGGGCAGGACCGGACCGGGCTCGGCTCACTTCCTTGGCGGAGCTGAGCCTGGGGTGGCGAGACCAGGGCCGGGAACTGGGTTGGTGCAGCTCCACGCAGGACAGGAGCGTGGTGGAGCCCCCGCCCGCGGAGGCGCATCCCGCAGCATCCCCATGTAACCCTTGCTCCCCATGACCGGGGTACGGGTCCCGGGGAAACTCGCCGTTCCTCGGCACCGCAAGCCCCGAGGGGACCTCGGGGACCGGGACAGGGCAGCTGGGCCGGACCGAGGCCAGTGCGGGCGGGGGTGTGTCCGGCGAGGGAGGGATCGGAGCGGCGGGGGGCTCCACCTCCTGAGGCTTAAAGCTCGGGCGGACGGCGGTGCGGGTGTCCCGGGAAAGTTGTGCCCGTGTCGCCATCGGCTCAGAGCGGGGAGCGGCTGCAGGAGCGGCAGCGGCGCGGTCGGGGCTGCCGGGTGCGGGTGGCCCTTCGGGGCGACACTCACTCCGCCGCCCACCCTGCGGCCCCTGCCCTCGGTGCTGGCGATGACCCTGAACACGCAGCCCGGGAGCAGGAGCCCGCTGCGGCGGAGGGCCAGCACCCCGCTCCCGCGGCCGGGTGGCTCCGGGGCCACTTCGCGGGGTGAGTCCTATCACCCCCAGCTCGGCCACACCGCCTCCGAGCCGGGCGGCAGAGACCCCCGCGGCACCTGGTCCCCCGACTCCTCGGGCTCCCCAAGGCTCAGGGAGCCCCGGTACCGAGTGGTGCTGCTGGGTGACCCCGGCGTGGGGAAGACCAGCCTGGTCAACCTCTTCGCCGGCGTCCAGGAGAGGGACCTGCTGGACCAGCACGGAGGTGGGTGTCTGGTGGGGGGATCTGGTCACCTGCGGGGCATCCCGTGGCCCCATGATGGGACAAACCCATGTGCGAGGCGGAGAGGAGCCCGGGACCGTGCTGGGAAGCGCGGCGCTGACCGAGTTCTCCCGATGTCCCGCAGGGGCCGCGTACGAGCGCAGGCTGACCGTGGATGGGGAGGAGACCGCGCTGCTGGTGCTGGACACCTGGGAGTCAGAGCAGCGGGTACGGCGGGGCTGGCTGTCAGAGAGAGCTGAACGAGCCAGGATGTGCCACGGGGACATTGTATGGGCACAAGCGCTGTCTTGCGGCCTCTGAGCACTTTGAAGGGCAACCTGGGTCCCCCCCCCCCGTCCATTTCTGGGGCTCACCACCTTGGAGCACAGGATACACACTGGGCAAGACAGGCTGGGGTCACATCTCTGCATCCGCCCTCCTGGGGCATGGGAGGCTGCCCGGCGTGTTCTCACTGATGTGTGTTCTTATATGAAAACCCACTTCAAAATGCCTGGAAATGGTTTGGGAATAGGGCTGAAGGATCTAACTGGGTAACTCCATGAGTTGGTATCGCCAGCCAAAACACTTTAACGGACAGAACGGTGCTCCCAAGAGCCTGGCATAGGGCATTCCTCATGCCTAGATCATGAGATATCTCCTGGGCAGAAATGCCAGTGCTGTTGTCACTGCCTCCCTCCAAAGGCCTCCCTCCTTCCCTTCCTGCCAGGGCCCTGCATTCCTGTAGGTGCCACCAGGCAGTGAGTCCCCAGGAGTGGGGACAGAGTCAGTGCCCAAGCTGTGGACAGGGGTGCAGCACTTAAATGGACTGAGCTGTGTTTGGCACGCACTGCCCAGAGGTGCCCCAGCACTGTGACACCCCAACAATGGCCCCTTTTTTCCCACTATGTCTTATCCCCACACTGGCCAGCAGTGCCTGGATCATGCAGGGTGCAGCACCCACCACACTGTCCCAGGCCATTCCCAGGGGATTCAGCCTCACCTCCCCCCACCAACCAGAGCCCACAGCCCCAGTTTGTGGTTGATAGAGAGGAAAACTCCCAAGCACTCCCCTCAAAATCAAGAGCTTTTCATCTGTATTTAATTAATAGGGTAACACATCTGTTCACCACAGTGTGGGGGCTGGTGAGGTGTGCTGACAGGTCCCATCAGTGCCAGGGTGCTCTGCTGTCCCCTGGAAATGGTCATGGCCACGGATTGGTGACATCTTGTTCCCCATGTGGTGACAGGGTGAGGAGAGCCAGCGCCGTAGCCACTGCCTGCACGTAGGGAATGCCTACATCATCGTTTACTCTGTCACTGACCGGGACAGCTTCGAGAGCGCCTCGGAGCTGCGCATCCAACTGCGCCGCGCGCGCCAGGCTGAGGACATCCCCATCATCCTGGTGGGGAACAAAACTGACCTGGTGCGCTGCCGCGAGGTGTCTGAGGAAGGTGAGTAGGGATGAAGGTTCTGGCTGGTGGAGACCCCTGAGGGGGCTCCATGCCCAGCAGCTTCCCCCACATCTGTCCCCTCATCCCTGGACGTGCAGCTGCTGTTGTGCATGCGGCAGTGCCCATCCCACAGCACTTGAGGTGCCAGCAGGGCCATGCCCCCTCCCTGCCCTTCCCTTGCAGAGGGCCAGGCCTGCGCCGCCGTCTTCGACTGCAAGTTTATCGAGACGTCAGCGGCTCTGCAGCACAACGTGGCCGAGCTCTTCGAGGGGGTGGTGAGGCAGATCCGCCTGCGCCAAGGGGGCAGAAAGTCCCACCTGCACCCCACACCTGGCCAGAAGCACAAGGAGAGCCTCGCCAGCAGAGCCCGGCACTTCCTCGACAGGCTAGTGGCCAGGAACAGCAGCAAAGTGGCCCTCAAAGTCCGTTCCAAGTCCTGCCATGACCTGTCTGTGCTCTGAGAGCCACAGTCCTGTCCCTCCAGACATGCCAGCTGGGACTCTGCTCTGTGCCAGCCATGTGGCCAGCGGCTCTGTGAAGAGCTCAGACAGGGCTGGAGTGATGCTGAGCATGTGGAGCTGTTTTCACTGGTACTGAGGGATGTGAAGGTGCTCTGGATCCAGCCATTCCCCTGCAGGAGAGGGGATAAGTGGGATCAGGTCCGTGGAGTGGAGGATGGGATGGGTACCTGCACTTGGGTGAGATTTTGGATCACAGCTCCTCCTGCAGAGCCAGAGGTGAGGGGTGGCTGTGCCCCAGAGCAGGGCTGGAGGCTACCAGGAGTGTGGCAGGTCCCACTTGCAGTGCTGTCCTTTGCAGGGCAGCAGGGACTGGCAAGGGCACAGTGGCATTGTCCACCCTGGTGGACACCTGGACAGCGTGGAGTCTGGCTGGGAAGAAGGGGCAGGGGAGCACCAGCAGCGTCACCTGGCACCCTGACCCTGCTGTGCCAGGGCTTTGTGCCATGTCTCACTGGCACCAGTGTTTCTGTGCTCTCTCTGTACTGGTGTGATGGGGAAACCCTTGATCTGCAGAATAAACCACATCAGGGAGGTGCTGTTCTCTGCTGGGTCCCTGCCCTGGGGAGCCACATCCCAGAGCCACATAGATTGAAGCTCTGTAACTTGCCTATGGCTGGTGCTGAGGATCCTCTTCCTGCTCTTGGCCAGGCTTTGGCTGGCTCCTCCATTAGCTGGAGTATCTTGGGGCAGGGAGAGCCCAGAGCTTCCTTTGGCCACCCTTGCTGGAGGTCCCAGTTCTTCACCCAGTGCTCCAGCATTGTCCCCTGTGAAGCCCCCTGCATTTCAGAGCTCTGGAAAAGCCTGTGGGAAGGGCTGAGCTCTGCTGAGCTGCAGGTTTAGAGCCCCTGAGCACCGTGGGAGCTGCAGCCTGGGCAGGGAGCTGGGCACTTGGTGGCTCCTGGTGCCCCGGGAAGGGGCAGGGAGCAGGAGCCAAGCAGAATGGCCCAGCCAGGAAAGGACGTGCTTGGCTGCAGCAAGCAGGGAGTGACCCTGGGCACCCAGGGAGGCGATGCTGGAGCTGTTGTGGGCTTTGCCTGTTGTTTTTAGGCTGTGCTGCCATCCAGCAGCTGGGATACCACGGGGGAACCTGCTCAACATCCCGGGCCCAATGCCAGGGAGGATCAGTGGTGCCCTCCTACTCGGGTCGGGAGTTTCCACTCACTCTGCGGTCAGACCGTGGGGAACCACTGGCTGTGGCTGGCACAAATGGGACACTGGGATGGGCCAGCACCCTGTCCCGATGGAAAACTAGTCTCTCCAGAGGTGCAAATCCCAAGTTTTGACCTCAGAAATGGGGAGGTGGGTGCTCAGATTATTTTCCATGGCATTGCTGCTGTTCTGCTCCTACTGCCCTGTCCTCAAGCTTCCAGCCCGCCGATTCCTCGTGCTGCTGGAGGTGATGCTGCGGTTCACAGAGCCGAGGTTGGGGGCTGCACCCGAGGGACAGGGGCTCCTTGCTGCTGCCGGTCCCTCCCGCAGCTGCAGCTGGTGTTTCCCTGCGGCCGAGGCGGGGGAGGGGGGCCATGGGATGGAAAGTTGGCAGTCAGCAGAGAGGGGAGTGGAAAGAATGAGCTCAAACCCAGAAAAATGTGGCCGTGCTGGAGGACGGGAGGAGTGGGAGGAGAGGCCAAGGGGGGCCACGGTGAGGCGCTGGGAAACGGAGAGAGGGTGGAGGGAGGGGGAGGGAGGAGGTGCTGGCAGGGGACCAGCGACTGCCTGTGGTCCCCATCTGGGCCCACTCCTGGGGAAGGTGGTGCCAGGTCTGGGTGGTAGCGGCTGCTCCAGCGAGTGCTCTCGGGGCTATCCCAGTGCCGTCAGCCCCTGGGTGGCCACTGGCTCCAGTGCTATCCATCCCTGGGTGGCCAGCAGCCTTAGTACACTTCCCCCTGTCCCACGGGCTCCCGGTGCCCACCACCCTGCTGGCTCCTCGCTGGCATGTGGCCACCCTGGGCCAGCAGCCCCCGGCTCCCCCATCTCGCTCTGCACAGCGATGCTGCCCTTTGTGAGGATTCCCAAGCCAGCCTAGCATTCAGAAGGGGGCAGCGAGAGGCTCGGGAGCTGTGCTGTGCCAGGGTGGGATGCAGGGGGGTGTGTGGGCACACTGCCTTCTGCTGCCCATCCTGCTCCGCTCTGGGAACAGCAGTCGCAGGGAGAGGGCAGCATCCCGGGCAGGAGGCCAACCCCGCAGAGAGGGGCTCCCAGGAGGCCTTCCCATCTGCCCTCCGCCTGAAACACGGAACTATGAATCACCCCGCTCCTGAAATAGATTCCTTTTATTTAAAATATAAAATTTAAAAGACATTTTTTTAAAAAATCAAAGTCTCGTGTTTTAATCCCTGCTGTGCTCCCATCTCCTTGCCCATGGCTCAGATCTAAACTGGGGGGCAGCACCATTTCACTGTGCTCAAATCTTCACCAATTTTTGCTCCTCAGCAGACTTTCAACCTGGTGAGGAGGAGGAGAAGGCTGGGTGGCACAGCCGAGCTGCCAGCGACTTGGGAGTATTTGTGAGGAAAACACACATTTCGGCCAATTTTCCAGCAGAGCCTGGACCCGGTCCAGCGCGTGGGGAGAACCTGCCGCCATTTATAAGGCATTTTACAGAAGCGCTGTTTGCTCAGGGCTGGGCTGGGAGCACTCAGGGGGATTCCCAAGAACAGGGAAACGGTGAAGGGCAGCAAAACCCAGGGCAGCCCAGGAGGCAAACCGCTGGTGGAGCTGGAGCTGCACCTCCCCGCTCGCAGCGGGGCTGCGGGAAGCCGGCAGCGGCGCCCGCGGGGAGCTCCTCGGGAGTTCCCTGCGCCTCCCACAGCGGGCGGCGGGGCCCAGCCCGGAGCGGCGGCGGCGCCGGGCTCTGCCCTTCTCCTGGCACCGCGGCCGCCGGGGCGGGGCCGGCTTCAGCGCCGCTACGCGTGACGCACTTCCGGTCGGTAAGGGGGACGTGTCGGTGCGGACCGCGGTGGGAGCAGCCGCCATGGAGGAGCCCGCGGCGCACAACGGCAGCGCCGCCGGGGCCGCGCCCGGGGCCGCGCCCGGGACCCCCGCCCGCCCGCCCGCCACCCCCGAGGGCATGGCGCTGGCCTACGGCAGCCTCGTCCTCATGGCGCTGCTGCCCATCTTCTTCGGGGCGCTGCGCTCCGTCAGCTGCGCCAAGAGCAAGGTACCCCCGCGGCTCGGGGCAGCCGGGCCTGTAGGCCGAGCCCCCCCTTCCGAGGGTCCCCTCCGGGCGCCCCGTTCCACGGGAGGACCGGCAGCTGCATGGCCCCGGCCCTGGACCCCGGGGAGAGAGTTGGCTTCCTCCGGGGCTCCTCCAGCCCCGATAAATTCAAGTGCTGCAAAACACAACCGCCCCTTGTCCCTCCTCAGGAGGAGCTGTGCTGGGGGGACTCGTGTGTGGCTGTGCCCCGCGGCACCGGGGCTACTCCGGGGTGCTCTCCCGCCTGCACTCCCTGTTCTGTCCCGGTATTCTCCCACCGTTCTCTGCGTTTCATAGCAGGGACTCAAATCCCAACAGTTGGGCTGCTGTAGCTCAGGAGGAAGGACTGTTTTACAGTCTGATCCAATACTATTTTTAAAATCTTCTTTTGTGCTGTTAAGCCTCATATCAGGGGCTTCTGGCATCCAGGCAGTGGGGGGCTGTGAGCAAAGCCCAGCAGCAATTCAGGATGGGGGCTCTCATCCCTCACTCTGCAGGGAGCAGCAGGAATTTGGGCACCTCCGGGCTGCCGGGCACAGCGTGACAACTGCCATGCCCAGGATAAGCTGCACAAGGGCTTTTGAGGTGCCCTCGATCTGTGCTGGCCGCAGGTGTTTGCCTGAGTGAGATTAAATCTCCGAGCAGCGGCCAGCTGGGCCTGGAGCAGGCAGAAAACAGGCAGCCCTCTGCCTCCTCTGAAAGCTGAAGGTCTCCCATGGGAAATGGCTTGAAAGGGGCTGGTTGAGGTGGTGCAAAGATGTCTTGGAAGGGGTTTATAAATCTGGGACTTTTGAGCACGAGAAGTGTCCCAAGAGCAAGGTGAGAGATGAGGAGGTGGCTGGAGAGACGTGTCGTGCACGGGGTGATCACAGATGGTGGCACAGATGGGGCTGGCTGGGCGTGAGCGGTGAGGGAGCCCAGCTCCCCTCTGGGCAGGGGGGAACGGAACAGTGCCAGCACAGGATTTTTTCCTTCTCCAGGAGGAGAAAAGCAATAAATTGTGGCTGCCCTGGAAAGGACAAGTGTTTGTGTTTTCCAGCTCAGGCTCTGCCTCTGACACAGCCTCATCTCCGGATATAGCAGGAGCCAGTGGGTGTTTTGTCCCTCTCAAAATCACTGTGGAGCGTTGTGTGTTGTGTCTGTCCACCCCCTGCTCAGGTGTGAAGGCAGGGCAGGGGCTGGTCCATTCCTTTCTATCCTTCTCTCCCCAGAACTCCTCGGAGATGCCAGAGACGATTACCAGCCGAGACGCTGCTCGCTTTCCCATTGTTGCCAGTTGTACCCTCCTGGGGCTCTACCTCTTCTTTAAAGTAAGTGAGTGGCTCTGGAGCTGGGGCAGGACATTCTCCCACCTGGCAGGAGCTCCCATAATGGAGTGACTCTGTTTTTGGCCCTTAGTATTGGGACAGAAGGTGTGTAAGGCTGCACAGATCGGGCTCTTTCGGTGTCACCGTGCAGGAGGACATCAGTTCTTGCCTGAATTGTCCCAGCTTGAGGGAAATCAGAGCCTGTTTGTGCACAGGTTGTTTCTGGAGAGCTGCCGAGGAGCAAATAGCCCTGAGCTCTTCCTGTCACCATGGGCCGACCTGACCCTGACAGAGCATAGGCTGGAGCCAGAGGGTGCCAGGGTCTCTGAGGGGCTGCTGGCTCTGTGTTGTGTTCCATTCTGTACTCCTGGAGCTGTTTTGGCTGCAGGCCTGGGGGAGCCCTGGCGTCATCAGGTGAAGTATTTTAGATGTTCAGA